AATATTGCACAAGCAACCCATAAAAGCTCTTGAGGACGTTCAACGTGCTTTCAAATAGGTCTTTGTTAACAAATTGAGGCTGGAGACGCGCTTGTTTGTATCAGGGAACCCTCCCACTATTTCCTTTACCACAGCGTTTATTTTTTCCTATTTATTTTTTCCGTCCTGGAAGAAAATTTGCCGGAATGTATGACATGCGAATATTTAATCAAAGCCGGGTCCCAACACCCTCACAATGCATCAATGAAAAAGAAAATGGTCAAGAGGATCGAAAAGCTACTGTGTAATTATATCTTCGTATCGCGGAATTAAAGCAAAGGAAAACTCACTGTTCGCAGGAGGCAGACAAAAACATCGAGGAGATGGCGAAACATTGCGCCAAATCGTGTTTCAAGGATTGTACGTGGGGTGAGTCTCCATGTATCTCTTAAGTTCTTTGAATCATTTAGCATATTACCAATACTCCATCGGTCGCATACAGAGGGATACGCAGGTCTGAGATACACATCCCTCTGCGGCGGGAGCGGCAGCTGCGATCCCAACTGGGATGACGCCCTCAAGGCATGGCAAGACGAAATCAAGCAATTGTCTCTAGGACACGTGTGAGTCCGCATGTCTCCATATTCGTGTAATTGTTTCAATTGTGTCCTGGCATCAAGGCAGTTCGATCGATAATAATTCCTCAGGGAATTGTTCCCAATTGGAGAGACGACTCCTCTTGAGTTGACCATGATGATTTGGGCCAAATCGGATAAGGTGAGTTTCCACCTCTTGCTCTTTATAGTGCTTCTTTTTCCCTTTGAAGTTTGAATCGTAAGGAATATGTATTGCGAGTCAACTTAAAGTATCAGTCAAGCGTGTGCTTTCGGATGTGTCTCGTTATTATTTCCTGAATAATTGTATGACAGCATCCATTTCTTCGTCATATCTTGATATGGCAGGCATCGGGTCTTGAGAATGAAGGAATTAAATATTTCTTTAACATTTTCACCTTTTCTGACCGGTCATTTGATAAGAGTGTAATTAGGTAGGCTACCTGATAATTTTTTCTGATCCGTTTTACTGTGCGATTTTTAGGAAAATGATTCTAAGCGTGAGTCCTATCTAAATCCTTCTACAAGTGCCCAAAAAAATGTACATGCTAGTGTGGACTTTAACGTATTGCATCATACCTTGTATGATAAAATTACATTCGTATAGGGAAGGATCAATATTTCCTTGATATTACTCTAATCCTTCCTCTTTCACTTGTTTCCATTGATACTGATGAACGCACACGAATGCATAATTTTCATGAATCTGATGTTGAAAGAACACAATTTGAAGTCAAAGAAACGATGGCTTCGATACGACTCTTGCACCAGTATCTTGACTACGCATTGAGGATGATGAGCTTGCCTTTCAAAATCGTGCATCAAATCCGCAAATATATTGATAGAAAAAATTTAGCTGTAATTGACCTGTGACATGACTAACCAGTCTTTCCTGAAGATTTGTGAGTTTTTCTTCAACAGTTGATAGTCTTCTGTAGTTTTATGGTGTTGTTTATTACTCCGAATTTTCTATTGAAAAATTTGGACTTCGTGTGGAGTTCTAGTGCATCTAGACTGGGCGCTGAAAGAGTGAAAGTTATATGCAGTTGTCTAAAAGAAAATACATCATTCCATAAATGTAACTTATAGCTAAGGATGTTCTCGATTTGTGGATGGAAGTGAGCTCATAGAATTGAACTAACTTTAATTCTCGTGATGAGCCCCTTTTTTCAGGGAGAAAAAGAAATCTGGAAACGCTTCTCTCTCATAATTTGCACAGAGAGAAAACATTTGGAGTAGGAATTTTTCTCCACTCAGCAACGGAACAGGTATTTCCAAGTTAAGTCTAAAAATCATATCTCTCAATGTTTCGTTGGATCAAAAATATTCTGGAAAATATACCTCTTGCACAAAAGGGACCCTGAGGGGTTTTACTTTAGCAATGTTTTTTTCTTTGAAATCAATAAATGCAAGATTATATGCCCACCAAGTTTCAACTTCGTACGTTTGCATTTTTCGCAGTTAGAAAATTATCTCTTGAAGAGTCAAACCACCCAAAACCAGTGCTCTGAAGGAATACACAGCAAAAGTTGGATATTTTCTGAATTTACAATCACTTCAGTTATGCTTGTACCAAGTTACACCCTTCTATTTTTTCCCTGTAGGGAGAAAAAAATGAAAAAGAAATTTCATGAAAAAGAACTTCAAAAGCATATCACCCAAAGGGATATATCGGAAATTATTTTTTACCTTCCTGGACTGGTTAAGATTAATATTGAAATCATTATCCCAATGACCTCGTGTGTGCCCAACTTGAGCACCGTTTAATACACGTGCTCCAAGTTGTCAAAGGGAGAAATAATCATTCCAAAAATCCGCCCTGAGAGAATGCATCTAATTATATTGTGCACATCTTTCCCTTAATCAGAAATCTACCAGGTACTTCGGGACAAAATGTAAACTTTCTATCTCTCTTTCTCTCTCTCACTTTATGTGTCAAAAAATAGTTCAAGCAAAATGCGCTTCTTGCTGAAAATGGAGCCAGCGGGGTTTTAAATAAAGAAAGAAAAAATGTTACCGAAACAGAATTCGAAGTACTAGCTCAACATGTTTCAGGCTAATACATTAGTTGTTTTCGCTGATGCAAATATATAGTGTATTTGGAAAATGCGACCCACCCAAAAAATATGCACAAAGGGGATGACTCGCAAAAATTAAATTATTTTCGGTAACGTCACCTACAATAATATTTTCTTTCGGAGAGAGGGAGGCAGAAAATACCATCAATAAATTGGTTCAGTAACAAGGTAGGAGAATCCTTTCATAGAAGACTATTATCGAAAAATAGGTATTTTCATTTACTCTACAGTCTTTCCTGCTAAAAACAGAAACAGTTCCTTTGATAGATGGGACCTAATCGGTTTCGCTGAATTTTTAAGCATGAACTAACCGAGTGGTTATTATATTTACCATAAGGGAAAGCAAGAGTTAAGGTGTTGATTCGAACCTAATGAGTTTCTTTCACACAGGCAGGTTGCCATGCTGCCGCATGTGATGGAAACATCTCTTACCTCTGCATCCTCTCACCCCAGTATGGACGTATTCAAGTAGTGTGAGGTCATTGATGGGAGAGACTCTGATTTTGATTCTCGTGCTTTCTCCCTAATAGCGGAAACATGCACAGTGAGTCGGTTTACAAGGCCGGGAGAGGAAACGACTCGGGAGAAGAATGCAGGGAGAAATCGAAAAATTTTCCAGGGCTTTGCAAGTCTATCAGCAGCAAGACCCCTTAATCGGAATAAAGGAAGGAAGTGTTCCAACACCCCTAACGTCCACGACGACTTTTTCTGGTTTCTTCTTTCTTTGGGGAATCTTTCGCTCGGGACTTTCCAGTCGCGTTTAATTTTTGCATCCTAATAGGAAATGACCCTCTGTTTAGGTGCTTAGGTGCTTAGGACATTCATGGGCATTTTCAACTAGAACGAATGCAGAGTTGTCTCACATGCCTGCCTGTTCCAAAGGCTAACATATATTGGGTCAATTGTGTGAAGTGAACGAGAAAAGTTAGAAGTACGTTTCAGGCGACACATTTCACCAGAAATTTATGAATGTGTTTTACCTTTAAGACGTCTCACGCTTTATTGGTATCTCAGATTTCACTATTTGATGTATTTTTCTTCAGTTTTTTTTAGATTGAATTTTCCCGGTTTCCATCACACACGGATTCTTTGGTAATTAGCATTGACATGGCTTAAAAGAGAAACTTGATTTGTACATACAAATTAGCCTTTGTTTTGCTAATCACAAGGGTGATGAAATAAATTGAAAAGAAGTAATGTGAAAGACATTTTTCTAACGCCTTCCCTTTCTTCAACCTCAATCTCAAGCTACACACCTCTGCCCCCTCCCCCATCTCAATGGGACTCAACAATATTAGACATAGGCCTAACCAACGAAATCTCTTCGGGACCACATAGGCTTATAATGAATAATGAATAAACGGCCCTTTTGGTCTGTTTTGGTCTGTTGAGTTCGTCATATCTTAAAACTACAAATGTACATACAATCATAAAGAGGCAGAATGTGAAGAGAAAAATAGATAAATAAATAAACAGAAATAAGCAAAACTGGACAGGATACACAGGAATGGACAGAACTGGACAGAACACTCAGAACATACAGAACTGAATAGGACACACCGAAGCGGAACACATGAACATAAGTATAAAATCAAAAAGGTGTGAGGTATGAGAGAAAGACAAAATGAGGAGAGTGGGGGGGGGGGAGTTGTGACTGCACCTTCACGTAAGAGGAAACTCGAGAGTAAGAGGACGGTGGTTAAGTAACCCTGATTTGGGGCATGAGAGGAGTTTACCAGGTAATATCAAAGAATTCTGAGCATGAGTAGAGCGGCTGAGAGAGAAAGTGTTCCTTCAACTGGCTTCGGAAGGCTGTATGATTGAGTTGCCGATTGAGATTGCTGGGCCTACGAAGGCGACAATGTTACTCCACCCTTCCATCATCACAGTCGACACATTTTACAGCAAGTCTAAGGCATTAAGTCAAACAAACTTCGAGTGAACGTTCGAAGAGAAACATAGGCTAAAGGAGACTGTGGGCGACCACGAGGAGCATGGTAGAGGTGTTGGCGGGTATCGGGAAGGCATGCTTCAGAATTCAGAAGGGCCGCTCCGATGTTCCTGCGGAACCTGCTCCATTATTCGACCAATGGGCACCGCAGGCGCGCTCTAGCCTGTTCCCAACCAATATGGCTACAAAATGCACCCGTTTTCCCTATACCACTTAAGGTATATAGATGCGAGGCATAAGGTAGTGACGACAGCTCAAATAGGCGTCATGTTTAGTCCAAGCCCGGCCCACCTTCCCATTCTCTACCTCTCTAGAGCCACGAATGTAAACCTTTTTGCTCGGGGCAAAGAGGGGGAAAACTCGAAAAATAGGCCTATCGCCTTTCCCCATCGGGACCTCCCCTCTCTCATCTCAAAATACGATGATTTTCATGAAAACATGATTTACGGTCGTGCCGACATGACTTTTCCTTCTGCCTTATGTCATTGCTCTTTCCGTGCTCTTTCAATAGTGGGTTGGTCAGATTTCTTGTCAGGCAGTTTCATCTGCCACTCTCATAAGGGCCTACCAGAAAATAACTGATGGAGTGGCAGATCTGTGCCTTGCCTAGTGCTGTAGGTGGCAGTTCCATCATCAGCAATTTCATTGGATGAGAGAAGGGGCCATAAAGTGCATCTTTTAATATGACATTCCCTTAAATTTAGTCACAGCTCATCGCATATCCTTGCTCTATGTGAATTTCCGCTCAATCCCCTCAAGAGTACAGTTTTTTCATCTTGATTTGAGCATGAAGGAATCTATCTTCCCTAATTTGACTGCATTAAAGAATGGAAAATAATGCTGATGTTGCTACTGAGACAAAGGGTTTCTTGAACAGCTGACTGTTTTACACAAGAATTAAATATGACAGCAGATTGAACTAGAGAAGGTGCATATAAATTCCTTGACAGTTTGATTTTTTAAAGAAGCAATATTTCCTACACACCAAAATATATTTGCAAGTGTGATGTGAAGCTGTTTTCAGTTATCAGAGACACTAAGGGAATCCCAATTTCTAATGTCATAGATTTCTCCTTCTTGGTAGGATATAAATAGGAGCATCATTTTTTCTAATGAGGAGTGTAAAGGATCTGCAACACTCTGATGCCCTTAAGACACCTAAATGATGCAATGCATCCCTGCAGTTCCTTTCTTTCTTTCCATTCCTGATATGAACCCTAAGGAGCCCCACACTTGATTGTCAATGGATCGCTTTAGAAGCACTGATGGTAATTATCTGTTGCCTGTTCTTCACTCATTTACAGACATTTTGAGTACATTTCCCCTTACTCAATAACTTTCCCCTTCCTCAGAAATATTCTATGGTCAATGGCACATATATTTATACTTTATTTTCTCATCATTCAATGAGATCACAAGATCATCTATCACAGTGGCATTGAGAAATTCTTCAAATCAAATAAAATCACAAAAGGAACAAGAAGCACCAAACAGCAAAATATTTGCCAAATTATAAAGCTACACTACAGATAATATCCAATCAATTAACCCGTATTTAATATTCAACTGACACCAAGAAAATTAATCTAATGAAAAACGCAATGAGCAAGATCAACAAGGCCTAGGCCCGAACGTAAAGAGGATTTCAAAGCTCAGTTCAATTCATGGCCTCTATGGCCAGGACCTTCCCACCTAAAATTCAATGCTCGCCGATCACGTCTTTTTCGAATCTACGGGAAACTTGAACAAATGGTGCGAATTCCTGCTCCCGTTCGAGGAGTTAGGGACCGTACACCCTGGCATCTCGATGCAAAGCAGGCGGAACGGGGCCCTCAGCATGGACTAAAGCGGTGGCTTTTCCATGCCATCCATAACATTACTACGGGTGAGATGCATTCTACGAAAAAAACCCGCTCTCGATAAGGACCTGGGTGTCCGATACGGACTGTTCAGCAGGGACGTGTAAAACGTCCCGGCGTATTACACGTGGAGTCCCCTTTTATCCCTTAACCATTTGACGAGTATGCCCGTATATTGATAGGTATTGTTGCAAGGAGAGTGACTTCCTGTGAAAACAGCGGAATCCCACCTGTATGGAACAGGAACCCTTGGATATGAAAACGGGATAGCTACTACGCGGCCAAAGACGCGTAGTAACTATCCCGTTTCTCTAACGTATATTTCACTGATAGGCCAACATGAAAAATCTTCGAAATGGACTTCATCGACGAAACGCACATAGTCGAGATCGATCCATGATAAAAGTGCAGCTCGATGAAAGTCCGTGACGTAGGCGTGAACACCCTCATGAATAAGAGAGAGGGGGATGTGCAAGACGTATATTGTTCGAGCGGCTGCAGCCCACAGCGTTGATGGGGCCGTTGCCTGAACTGATGAATATCCGAAAATGCTCCACGCTTAGCCTCGGCCGACCCGGAATTCGTGAATGTCTTCCACGGGTTGGGGTCTCCATCTCGCTTGAGAGCGAGCAGGTTCTTGAGTCTTCGCAACTGTCGGATTCGTTCTCGAGAGCGGGAGTGAGATGGCGGCGGCGGCGTTGTAGAATGTGAAAGTGCTGACTGAACTCATACATTCCCGACTATGTTCAGGACCGTAGAGAGGGGAAGGGGGGGCCAAATGGACGATTTGCCCAGTGTCCCTTGCCTGGGGGAAGGGGGGGGGGGACCTGCCACACCGGATGATGCATGTACTGTTCTTTATTAATATAATTATTTATTAATTAATTTATTAATCAATATCGCAGCGTTTCTTTGCAATGAAGAGTGTCAAACGCGCTCAATGTGCGTGTAGCGGCAAGGAGGGAGAAGAGTGGAATGGGGCCCCTTAAGTGAATATTGCATAAGGCCTCACTATTCATTTTGGCCACCGTGACTGTGTTACACGCTTAGCCTAGGCTTAGCCAAGGCCAGAAATGTCAAACTTGACTAAGCTGGCGGCTGGATGAAACCCTACTAGACTGGTTGAGCCCACTTTCGCACATCTTGCACCAGCGTTTCAATAGCCGACAGGTTGAAATAGTTACTCTTTTCAAAAACCAACCATTGAAGAGGACTTTGCAGGCCGGATGAAATCAAATAATCGTGCGGCACTTTTACACCCATGTCCTAGACCGATCCGAAGTTCGTGGAAGTTTTCCACAGGTCATTCTCGAGAACGGGATGGAGGTGGTGTTGCTTTATGTCGTTGAGAGGTCCTCTGACTCAGCTAGGGAATTCGCGAGAAACTGTTCGTGGAAGACTTCTGCGTATTGGGGTGTCCGTCTCACGCTCGCACTATCTCTCCGGACTTCGCAACAGTCGGATCCATTCTTTAGAATGGGAGAGAAAACCATTGTAGGACTTCTCTTCCCCACCCTCCCCTAAACTAAGAGATTTCACCCATCGATATGAGCTCTCATGCAGGAAACCCCACGCACAATACTTGGAGTCCCGTTTTCCTTCGTTCGAAGGAGAGTAACTCTAGAGGGTGAAAGCGGCGGGATCCCATCAGGGTGGGACAGGAC